CTCTTATTTGTTTAAGTTCTATATCCATTTGTAGCTTAACGTACCCTCTTACAAAGGTAAAGTAGTCCCTGGACTTAATTAAACAAGTACTATGCCATGAAGGAAGTCGGTATAGCGAGTGGCTACAGGCTGACGACCGAGAAGCGGTAGGTTAAAAAATCTTCTCGACGTAGTCCTGACTGGCTCTAGGGCCCACACAGCTTCCTATCGTGGGTACCGGGACCTCTTTCCTTGGGGGTAAGGCGAAAAGGGCATGTAGCAAACACTCACCTCGAACTAATGATGAGCTCAAGAAAATCTGTATATATACATACACCTCCCCCCCCCAAACATCTTCATGGTGTGGTGCTTAAATAGTTAAGCACAGGGACAACTTTTACCTTTTACCTATGCCTTGAAAACACAAAGGGGACTAAAGGTATAATTACACCCTTCTTCACCTTGACACTAGATGGATGTGAGAGGTCAGCTTCGCGTTCCTGCCACTTTACCCCCGAGAAGAGGGCTCCCGCTTTCAGTTGGATAAATTGATAGGAGGGAGCCAGAGCCGGTCTGGGCGCTGCGGGGAAAACAAAAATCTCGCATCTGCTGGCAATTCAAATCCGGCCATCAAGCCCATAGCCCGTCGATGTGTCGGTTGAGCTCTCCCGACTCCCAAGATAAAATGTGGATATTAATAATATGTAGATGCGATAGCGAGGCCTTCTTTAGTTTTCTGTGACTGTAGAGGATCATTTTGCAGCTTATTGCAGGTGTAGAGGGACATTAAAGCTATTTAGGTTCTGCTGTCACGATGCAACCTGGGAAGGACTTTCAATAATACACAGAACTGCACCTGTAGGACTGCATAAGATCATTATAAGCTTACTGTAGGTGTAGAGGGACATTAAAGTTAATTAGGTTCCTGCTGTCACCATGCAACCTGGGAAGGACTTTCAGTAATACGCAGAACTGTACCTGTCCTGTCTGTACAAAATTATTATAAGCTTATTGTGAGTGTAGGGACATTGAAGCTACAATTTATTTAGGTTCCTACAGTCATCACACGGCTCGTAAGGAACCTTCGGCAGGTTGCAAAATTGCATTTTTCGCTGAGAGAGGGGGATGGGGATATTATTTTGGGGTGGGGCAACTTTTTCACTACATTTCTGGTTTGATTTCCGGGAGAAGCAAACGTCTTTTTTCTACTCTGCAGCATCCAGAAAGTACATGGGTCCCTTCCAATCTCCTATTCAATGTGTACCAGGGATGTTTTCCCTGGGGGTGAATTGGCCTAAACGTAAATCTGATCACTCACTTTCGTCTAGTGCTGAGGTGAAGAACGGTGTGGTTATACAGTCACTCCCCCCATACCTCATCACAGAGGCATGATTAATTAATTGGACCCAGGATCAGATTTACCTTTACCTTACCTCTGAATTAATTAATTAGCCTACTTTGTTACGTACTTGATGTTTTATAATTCTGAATTACACGGGAGAGTCGTTAGCTTGGAAACTCTGTTTTCTGCACCCTGACGAAATTTACGATTTAAGATTTCTCCGTCTCTTCTTCTCAAACGGAGGTTGGTGGGGTGTTACCTCATATACGTAACTGAGGTGTTTGTTGGCGGTTTTAATATGCTGCCATGTTACTGCCCTGCCCAACCCTAAACTTGAGAATTACCATTTGACAGACCTAAGGGTGAGGAACTAAGAAAGAAATGGGGAAAATAAAAGCTATCCCTGTAATAGGCCGTGGAGGCTCATATGGTTGTGATACGCAGGAGCTCCCACATTTTCTCTAGACACTCAGCTCATAGATGGCGACGAGGTTGTCAGCCTTACGCGCCGGCCGCCCTTTACTCCCCCAGGAAGATTCCTGGCAATCATTTCTGTTAAAGAGTCTGACTCCACCCCATAGCTATAGTGCTGCTGGGAGGATTAGGTAAATTGAAAAAAAAAAAATCCGCCTCATCGGAACTCGAACCTGCGACCTTCCGGCTTGTAACATAGTGCCTCAACCAAATACGCTACTGCGTGCCCCGAAGTGCGGGAAATACTGCGATAAAAAGTTTCGGAATTACTCTGTTCTTAGATTACTATTGGGGCAGCAGATCGAGTAGGATGAAAGGGGTGAGTCAAATACGACGCGTGGAGACATGAAAAATACGAAATAGAGTTCTAATTTCTGTAGAATAGCGAGCTATTTGGAGACCTGAAGCAGGTGAAAACACTATAAGAATTTCAAGGAAAGAGTAATCACCTACTTTCTGGCGGGGAAAATTGCTACTGGCCCTCACCAGCACAGTCATTCTTGGTTCCGAGTCCCGTGGGACTCATGACCACATTATTTGACGTCTTACAACTTTCGAAGCCGTGCAACTCTAGCCATCTACTTTCCGTTCACTACGTATTGAAAATCTTATACGACACGGACAGCATAGAAAACAGCGTGTTCAAAAATTCTTATGTTGTGTGCGCATTTATTGTCACGTGAACGTGCATACCTAGCAGTTGCCTAGCAAAGATACGGGGGATACACAGACACACAGACAGTCATAAGCCTCTTTTTAAATTTTGAAGAAAAAGTAGAATACAGACAGACAATGTATGTTTATGGGCTGAATTCTACTGGCTAAGAAAATGGAGTAAGGTGGTACTCTTTCGGTAATCCATCTACGAGTTCTATAAGAGGCGGCGAATTTCAGACCGAGTGAACATAATTTCCTTCGAAAAGCATCATGCTACACAGATTGGCATATCGAATGAGTGACAAGTTATTAAATTCTTGCCTACGCTGTACAGCAAAGAGAGGCCTATTTTCCAGACCCTGTGTACGTTTCCTTCGTAACTTATGAGCTGTAACTGCAATATTACTTGAATAGAACCTCACGCTTCTGTATAAACTATAAAAGTAAAAAGTAAAGCTATCCCTGTACCAGGCCGTGAAGGCCCATGTGGTTGTGAGACGTTGAGGGTCCCACATTATCTAGACAATCGGCTCAAAGATGGCGGTAAGGTTGTCAGCCCCACGCGCCGCCCGCGCTTTATTCGCCAGGAAAATTATTTAATTAATTCCTGGTGAGGCTGGAGAGGCTGAGTGAACCCCAGGGCCAGAGTGCGGCTGGAAGGATTAGGTCAATTGAAACAAATTCAATGACCTCATCGGGACTTGAACCTGCAAACTTCCGGCTTGTAACATAGTGCCTCAACCAACTACGCTAACGCGTGCCCCCTCTGTATAAATTACACCCACAAAAAAACTTATATTTTTGGACGTCAATTGTTGTCTTAATTTTTATTTAAAGCAAAGACTGGAAAACTGGGCTCTGCCTCGATCCGCAGGTGAAAAGCCTGCTCAGCTGAGCCCAACTGATACAGAATATCTCCGGAAACAAAGATCAGCTCTCTCGATTGTTCCTAAATGTGTAATCTTTAAGCCTGAGGCCGGAGATAGAGTCGAGGCTCCAAAACGATGCTTAAATAGAAGTTAGGACGGTAGATGATGTCCAGAATATTGGTCATCATCATCATCACTGCTAAAAATCCTTTTTGAGACCGTGGCCTTCCTTAGAAGATTCTGCCAGATTTGTCTATTAGACCATGTGGGATTCACTTCTTTTGATTTCGCAACAGCAAGTTTTTTACAGAGCAAGGTCGTCAGACTTCCGCCCAACCTCCAACTTCGAGAACCTGGTCTCTGTATCTATGCCCCCCCCCCATGACAGGATGGTCCAGTTATGCCTGAGGCACCGGGTTCCCTTTCCGTCGCTTTCTACGACTCACAGGGCTGCCCGCTTCCGCTCGAGTAAAAGTATCAAATGTGTCGTCATGACTTACCGTCGTCATGATCTGTGAGATCTTATTTATATTCCCTGCATTTGCGGCGCCGGAAATTCTCATATACAAGAGCTGTGAGGCTGTGCTTGATGCAGAAAACAGTACTTCAAAGTGTCCTGTTTCTATCTTTACCTCTCACTGCAAAGTACTTGGCTTAAGAAGAATGAAGTGCGCAATTGTGGGCGCTACACAAAGGGCACCTTTGTAATTCATGTATTTGTGGCTAGGTTAGTGAAATTTTTTCTCGAATGGAGATTATAGGATGTTAAGGAAAATGCACAGGCCTAATTCCTCTTCTTTCTGTGTTTTAAATAAATATACATATTTTTTTTATTGCTAGTGGGGTGGGACTAAGTCCCTTGTATTGCGGCCACTTCTGGCCTATTGTACCAGCCCCAGATGATAGGCGAGGGTGATTGTGGAGCAACTGGCGGAATGAAGATTGGCAGGGGAAACCGAAGTACTCGGAGAAAACCTGCCCCAGCGCCACTTTGTCCACCACAAATCCCACTTAACCAGACCTGGGATCGAACCCTGGCCTCCGCGGTGGGAAGCCAGCGACTAACGACTTGAGCTATGACGCGGCCTTAAATAAATATAAGACGATGGATAATTCGAGAAATACAAAAGTTTTCTTAATAAATCATCGTCACAGACTTTTAGGTATCATCTTCAAATTTACGTTCTTCTCTCCAAGAAATCACATTTCACACCCGTTGGAAATTGGTTACATACAAACAAAAAAAAAACTTCGTGGTTTTAGTCCGCAACTGAACTATATCGGCCGTGCAAATGCCGTTTGTCGGCGAAGTTAGTGCCAACTTTAGCGGATAGAGGGTGTCGCGTTGTCAGCGTTGTCGGTTTTCTAAACCGGAGCCACTATTTCCTTGAAATAGCTCCTCAATTATCCTCACGAGGCTGAGTGGAACCCGTTCCAGACCCACTACTTCTCACAAAATCTGGTAGCGCCGGGAATCGAACCCGGAACCTCAGGATCTGTAGCCAGGAACTCTGACCAGTAGACCACAGAGGCGGTCAATTGGTTACATAAACTGAGAAATTTATTTACGATTCCTTCTTCACACATTAAGAAAATTCAAGTTTCATAGAAATCTTTGGTGCTACAAATTCGGTATTGTTACTAGTCACAAAAATAATATAGTATTTGATCACGTTTACCTTTAGCTGAATTGTCGCTGCAAGGGCCGTCTTGTGCCGTTGTGAGCGGTGCTTCATTGTTGCTTTCACAGATATCCGGGAATGGTGGACACAAGTGACTCAGTTGTTGAACGTGCGGTGATGTCATATGAGGAATACCTCCACCACTTCCTCCAGCAGGGGCATTGTTGATTGCCGATGTGGGGGAAGTAGAGTATTGGGACAGCGGTGCAACAGGAGATGGTGCCATCTGTTGGTGACCATGGTAACTGTTAATAACGAGGTCTGGACAGCTATTGTTGTACGAGTCCGCAAGCTTATTGTTATTGTGGTAGTTGTAGAAATCACCAGATGTCACTGCGAATGGGTCGAGAACCCCATTACTGTTCGTATCAATGCTGGTAAAAGAAAAAGATGTGTTCATGTTATTAGGACCACTGCCGCAATCCTCAAAGAAGAATGATGCTTGCTGCGAATCCATCATGGGCATAAAATGTCCTCCTTGCTCAGCCAAATTGAGAATATCCTTAACTGAGAAAGGCGTGCCCATAAGGGAATTCCCGGAAGTGTTAAAACTATTGTTATTGAAATTCGGGTACTGACTTGAGATCATGGTAACTACCACTATTTTTCGTAGTAGCAGAAACACAGCATACCGGAAAGTCGATTGATATTTCTGTATTCTCTTCCAGTTTCACTTTGCAGAATTCAATTCTTCGTTTTCCAAATAATGAAAATTACGCAGAGAAACAACGAGAATTATGCTACACTGATCTCACCCTTATTGTTAGATGCCAAATTGTCACTTATATTCGCGTATTCAAATCGAAACTCGATCAGTATACATCCTGCCGTCACAATTCTCTCGAAGGTTAATTACAGTCTGCCGCTTGTTAACCCTGACAGGATTGCACTTGAGCTGACCGCGGTGAACTAATTGTGACAAACATAACACGCGCGCCAACCCACTCTCGGCCCCTAATGCAAGCCATCCCCTCTGGTTTCAAAACGAGAACTTCATTTTCCACGCCCACAACCACAGATGCCGACCAATGGGAGCAAAATAAACATTTTCATCATAGACATCCTTCCAGTAAACATCATTTCAGTCTATAAGAACTAAACTCTGATTGGTTATGACTGGGATAATGATGAGCATCTTTTCTCTCTCTGTTCCACTAAAATCCAGTCCAAAGAAGATGCTGTTTTTTTATTCGATTAATTCTTTATGTGTTATTTGCATTAAGTGCTTGAATTGGGTGAAAAGTGGGGAGATCTGCCTCTTCGCAGATTTCGTCTTCAAAAACTGCTCGATAGATTTAGATGATATGTGGTTTTTAGTGTCTGTTAGTTCAAAGTAAACAATAATATTCTTTCTATTTAGATCTAGATTAATTCTTTCTTTTTCCAATGGCTCTTCCAGCCCATTCAGGGCCCAGGTCTCTTACTCAGGTCAGTTATAATTTTTCACAGACGGTAGGACTCCTTGGACGAGTGATAAGCTCGTCGCAAGGCCGCTACCTACATACAGGACAACACAAACACAGAACGAACACATACACACGCCAACCTTCCATGCACAGAGTGGGATTCGAACCCAAGATCCCAAAGTTCGAACGAGCGAAGACAGTTCATTCCTTAGACCGCGCGGCAACTGTGACCGCCACGTAATTTATTTACTGATAAACTTAAATCCATCTTCATCAGTTATATCACGAAATTCTCATGATGCCAGTAATCTTCAACATGACATAAAATAAAGAAAGTCTACAGATATTTTGAAACTATTTGCTATATGGTGAATGTTTAAGGTAATGCAAGGATATTTCTGATGACACTTAGGCTACGTAGAGTGGTAAGTGCAGTAATAATTGATATGTGTCTGAGATCTTGCCTGAGGAAACTTCTAGAATAATAATTTAAATAGGCCACGATCTTTCATATCAAAAACAATATTTCACCACTATCCTAATATTCTAACCTACATAGACCAAACACGTGGAGTTGAGAAAGCGTCATTGAATAAGTTAAGAAAAATAAATAATCTGGAACACTTTCTGTAAGTGTTTATGTTTCTCAAAATGTTTGAGTAGAAATTCTTTCGTCCGTTGAATTAAATGAGCTGCAACGTATGTTCCGTTGAAGTAGCACGCAGGGCGAAGGCAGGTGACAGTGGACACGGGACACAAGCCTGCACTGGCCGGGCTCTGTACCGGTTCGGAACATGGCTGACAGGATTGGTATCTCTCCGTACGGCTTACTTCTGTTCAGATCTGAAAATGATGGAATTTTAGCGAGTCTGCCTTCAACCCCCTTCACGTCAGATTTTTGTAACTTTTCAAAGATGAGAAACAGGATTCTTCGTTCTTAAACACCAGTACCTTGAGAGCTCTTATTGAAGAGATTCTGTGCAACTTGCTCGGAACTTTCCTTTGCCTCTCGGAATTTTACACTGAATGTTGCGACCCAGCTTTTTCAGCAAAGGTTTATTTGTTGCTCTCATGCAGAGGCAATGCCTTTAGGTCTAGAATAAAGAATTAACACCTCACCTATGGACCATATAAGCACTTAAGGTGTGTTTTCGTGTTAAATTCTGTTGTTAGCCTAATTTCCTTATTTTGAAAAAATAACCGTAAGCTTATGAGATCATCTTACCTTCTGTCTGTGTATCTATCCATGTCTGTCCACCTGTCTTTGTACACCCCAATTTTTGTGAAGAGGCTTATGAGATCATCTTGCCGTCTGTCTGTGTATCCATCCATGTCTGTTCACCTGTTTGAGATTACCTTGCTGTTTGTACTTGTATAGCTGTGTGTCCCACTGTCATTGCTAAGCAGCAGGACGTATATTCCCTCCACTTTTTTCCGTTTTATATGCATTCCTTGTCTTATTGAAGGAGAGTATGCGGTTAGTTCCTCCCAGAAACTGGAAACAGTCGGCCTTCATTGGTTCACTGTGAGAGACTTTTATAAAGTGACTTGAAAACAAAAGCTTTTAGTGGGAAGGACAACCCCTAAATACAAGTACTATGTAGGGAATGCATTACAAAGTATTTGCATTTTTGCAATGATATGAATAGAACACTGGATTATCAGATATTATTAGACGTCAGTTTGGGACTAATACATCTACCACAGGGGGGGGGGAGGTACGCGGTGACGTAGTTGGTTGCGGCACTATGCTACAATCCGGAAGGTCGCGGTTTCGAGTCCCTATGAGATGGATCTTTTCAATTTATCTAATCTTTCCAGCCGCACTATGGCCCTGGGGTTGACTCAGGCTCTAACAGAAATGAGTACCGAAATCTTCCTACGGGGTAAGACTGACACCTCACCGCCATCTGTGAGCCGATTGTCTAGAAGATGTGGGAGCCTCAACCTCTAAAACCCCCATGGGCCTTCACGCGCCTGTTACAGGGATAGCTATACTTTACTCTTTCATGTACCATACATAAATTTATTAGGAAAACATTATAAGTCGAATGTTAAGTGTTTCCCAAATTCATAACGTTATGGTAATAATCAAATTAATTTTAACATTCAAGCGTTGGGTGTAAATCAGCAGAAGTGCCGTTTTAACATATAAGCTTTTGGTAAATAAATTAATATAAAAATATCATTAGCAAATTCAAACGAATTATGAAGGAAGCAGTCTTCTGGAATGTGGCTCCTTGTAGATATTGTGTTAACCGACGTTTCAGAGGAACGTATTCGCCTCCATCTACAGGGTAGAAAAAAAAAACACAAGCGAAGAACCAGCGTGAGCAGGTGCCAATAGACTGCTTTCTTCATAGTCATCACCGTGAATATCTCAAGTCTTACACAAAAAGTTGTCTTGTAAAGATGTAAAGCTGTTACTATGTAAGTGTGTGAAATTCAATTAGGCTCTAGGTTATGTTTCGTAGTTTACGTACGCTGGTAGAGCCTACTTGAGGCATTATTTGTCTGCGAAACTCTGATGTGGGCCTAAATAATAATAATAAACATATATTGTTAAGTTAAAAAATATAAACGATAAATGTAATATTGAAATAAAAGAGAAAAGATTTGAATTATATAACGTGATGGAAGATACAAACACTTCGTGGAAGCGGAAATTAAGTTAAGAAGAAGAAAATATTCTGTTGAAATTAAAGCATTACATTTTTGAGTATTGTCAAGAGATGTGCCATGTTACACACACAAAGCAACTAGACCTATTTACTGAAAGAGTGTGCCCATTACAGACAAGAACAGTTAACAAACTAGAAGAAAATGGATAACGGACAGTAGCTATTAGTGATCCATTCCTATGAGATACCTTCAAATTTCAAGCTATAAGAGCAAACATAAGTAATTAGCAAAATCGCCGTTTCGAAATTGATGAGACTGGAAATTTTAACTGCCTTGAAGTTTCACATTTTGGCCTTTTGCGTTATGAGACGATGTAGTATAGTAATTACCTACTGAATGCCAAAAGCCAGCTACCAGACTACATTTAGACATAACCAAGATGACTATGACATGAAAGTTCGAAATACTTTACCACCTACAGGGGAAAACCCTTAGAGACATGTTTATGACGTGTACCTTTACCATTTTGCACGTGCATAAGTAAGCTTTCACTCCAACTCTGTCAGTTAGGCCTACCAGATTATTATCTGAAGGAAAAGGCAGGGTATACAGGTCCAGAGGAAAACCACGCAGTTGCTGTTCGGTTATTTTGAAGATTAATTCTTTTGGATGTGTCGCCGTGCAGTTTTCAGGATGTGTATTGTAACCTGTAGTACAAATGATGTACAACGATTGCGAGGAGGAACGTGCCTTGCTCGGTAACGGCTGGGTAAACACGTTCCCGCGGAATCGACATCCGCGCTAAGGATCGGTAAACACGCCTACAAGAAGGGAATTGTTGGAAGCTGCTTCTCTTTACGGTCTGTGCAAAGTGATCATAAAGAAGAGTTCAGTTGAGGATTGACAGTAGAGTTTCGTAGTTCCAAGTGAGCAGTTAGTCGAGAGTTGGTGTCCGCACGGGAGGCTGAGAAGATGGTGCTATGAGTTCAGGTATGGAGTGTTAACCGGCGGGCAACGGCGTGACTACGGAAGCTGAAGAATCTCGTTTTTTGAGAGCTGTTACTAAGCAACGATCAGTTAAACAGAATGAGAAAGTCTTAGCGTAGAGTGATTCATTGTGTGGAAATCAACAACAGCGATGTAATTACTTGTAGTTAAAAGTGATGTATACAAGTGGTCAGTAAACCCAATATGCGGTCCATACCCCATCTATAATGACACCTCTAAGTCGTGACAGTATTAAGGTGACCAAACTATTCACCGATATGAGAATTTCTTATCTCACACAAGACCCCGTCTAACATTCCGATATTTTGTGTTCTACATATGCGAGTAAGGGGTACGCTGTAGCGTAGTTGGTTGAGGCACTATGCTACAATCCGGAAGATTGCGGGATCGAATCCCGATTACTTGGATTTTTTCAATTTACCTAATCCTTCCCACCGCACTGTGGCTCTAGAGTCGACTCAGTCTCTAACAGAAATGATTGCCAGGAATCTTCCTCGGGGGTAAAGGGCGGCCCTAGTGTAAGACTGACATCCTTACCACCATCTGTGAGCCGATTGTCTAGAAGATGTGGGAGGCTCAACCTCTATGGGCCTCCACGACCTGTAAGAGGGATAACTTTACCTTTTTACATATACGAGTAAAACCGCCTAAAAATAATCCAGGGTTAATAATTTTATAATATCTGTCAACACACAGAATTACAGAGTTAGTGTTATATGCAGCTCTGTGTAACCCACAGTTCTGCAGCTTTCTGTGGTGTTAGGAGCGACGGACGGTCCTTTGTCTTAGTACATTCATTCCTAGATGTTATCAACACTTGCAGTACGTAACTCAGGCTGTGGCGTCGAATAAATGGATGAC